TTAATGTTTGATAATAATAAGAGCTAAAAAGTTTTCCCGAAGTGGAAGGGGTTACAGAAAAAATCGAAAATTAGTGTATATTGGCATCAGTGTATAATGTACATCAAAAATATTTCAAGGTCGAGTGTGTCTATTTGCTAAGAAAAACGTCTCCTCCTACCTCAAAACCACTAATACCTGGTGTCCTTATCGAGGGAGCGCCCTAATTCACTATAAGTACCCCATTTTTACCAAATTTTCTGGGCCGCAGGCAAGTTTTTGAAAAAACAGGCCAAAAAAGGCATTTTTAGGCACTTTTTGGAAAATTTTGACCAAAAAAGTGCGTTTTTTCGCCGCGCGTTCCCCCCTCAAAAACGAGTTTTTATTAGAAAATTTTAAGGGTACCTCACCAAAAATAGATGTCTCAAAATAGTACAAAGGGTGAACTCTTTGGGTCGGCAGGGGGTCGAACCCCTGAGGGAAGGGGCGTCCGCCCCCGCCACCCCCTAAATCCGCTACTGAATTTGATCATTGAATGATTACTGTGATCTTAAAAGACGGTACGCATCGTAATGACTATTACATGTATAGTGCATGCGATTTATAATTTTTGTTTTTGAGTATGTGAGAAATCCTTTTTCTTTCAACTTTCAGCTGAAAGTTTGTTGAAGTCTTTTTCTTTCAACTTTCTTTCAAAGTTTGTGGAAGGTTTTGAATAGGGTCAGAGTTTCTTTTTTGATATTAAACTGTTGGGCGATAGTCTTTTCAGAAAGAAAAATTAACAGCGATGCAGCAGACATCACATTGCTGAGTGAAAGAACACATTGCAATTTTTTAGCCTTTTTCTAAGAGAATCATTTTACCAATCATTGAGTTTGAAGGAACAAATTTAACAATCAAAGCAATGAAAGAATTTAACTGAAAAAATAGCTAACATTTTTTGTTAGAATCTTTGTTCGACGGCAAGTTTGAGGTCCCCGGAGTAACGAATGAATCCTAGCTGTTCGGTAGAAGTAAGCTCGTCAAAAATTACGTTTCCTTTTGCGGTTAACACTTTAAAGCTTTACAGAATTTTTGAGAAATTTTTTGGTGCGCTACCCCTCAAAAATAGCAGTTATTGGCACTGAATGTAATTTAGTACAAAAAACTTAGTGTTTTATGCATCTGGTTTTGTGCGAAGAAAAACATTCTCGATCAACTAAGTTTTATCACCTCAAGTTGTCGGAACAACGAAATACATTTTTTGTCGAGCAAGTGGCTGAGACTATTCCGTCAACAGTTATCCATTGAAAAAATAAAACACATTAGGAAAAATCACAATTTTTAAACATACTTCTCGAACCTATCAGATTGATATACTTCTCAAACCTATCTGTTTTGTGGTAGCCGATGTTTTTCAGTGCAAAAAGATAAGCCCGAGTCTCAACACCACATTCTTCTTCAACCAATCCTTTATTAAATCAAAAATTGAGAAGTAATCAAGTTTCTAATTCGGTATATTTAAAAAAAATGCAACTGCCGCGTAATATAGTATCTAACCAAAAAAAGATTTGCAGCGTAAATGCGAAAAGAATTGAAACTATTCATTTGAATCAGTTTGAGCGAGAATATATAATCAGCACGACTGCTCGTATCATCGTATCAGGGCGAAGCCCTGAATGTTCTGAGTGCTTTTTAGGGTCTATGGAGCAGTGATAACATGAAAAGTTTAAATGTAATCATATAAAACTGAAAAAGAAAATTTTAAAAAATTGAGATTTTTCGTGAAAACATCTCCCCACACGTCATATTAAGTACAAAGTGATAAATTTTGCTCCTCTTAACAAATCAATTATGGCATATAAGCTTCCTTGAACCAATTTGGAACGAGTTACAAGACGGATTAAGCCTCGCTTACGCGTTAATAGCGCGAAAAATATATCGCGCGTTATTTGTCCCAAATTGGCCAAAATGGCAATATTTAAACCACCAAATAGCAATATTTAAATGTACAAAAAATGATCACAGGTGAAATATCTTTTCAAATTTAAGCTCAGAACAACAATAGCTTTCGAATGATATAAAAAAAATTTTGTCATAAATGGCTAGTTAAAAAGTCGAAATTCGTCTGAAGAAAAAAACCCACCCCGAGCACAAATATTCCGTTACTTTCGTTACGAAAGTCGGAACAATAAATTGAGAAAAAATTAGTCCTGAACATTTTCAAACCGCCTGGAAAACTTGAAACAGCAAGTATATCTGATACAAAATCAAAAAAAAATGAAAATTGTGTCGTTTTTGTCCGTGATGTGATGAGAGGATCTGAATGAAGGCTTATGGCTTAAGCATATTTGATCAGGGGCGGATTTAGGGGGGTGGGCGGGGCGGGTGGGGGCTTTATTGTCAGGTATTTGAACCCCTGCTGACTCAAAGGGTCCGCCCTTTGTACTATTTTGAGATATCCATTTTTGGTGACGAACCAAAAAATTCTCGAAAGGCGCCTTTGGCACCAATATATACTTATTTTGAGAGGGGAGCGCGCGCTGAAAAAGCGCAATTTTTTGGTCAAAATTTTCCAAAAAGTGCCTAAAAACGCCTTTTTTGGCCTGTTTCTTCAAAATTTTGCCCACACCCCTTGAAAACCCACACCCCTCGAGAAAATCCTAGATCCGCCCCTGTATTTGATTTCAAAAAAAAACTAAAATTAAGCATCTTTAACAACAGATTTCTTTCAAAATTGAATAGAGCAACAGTTTACAATAATTAAATTTCAAAAAAATTTTCAGTGGTTGAAGCAAAACGTTTGCCCCAAAAATGGTTCTGGTAAAAAATATACGCAACATGCGGAACATACACTGATTTTTTTCGTGATAGATGAAAAATCGTTTGTTACACAAAAATAAATTTTGGCAATTTACAGTTAAAATATTCTTTTCTTAAATTTGAAAAAAACATAAATGGGTTTTTGAGAACATTATTTCTTGGCTACAAGAAAATGCTGAGCGGAAATGAACATTTTTTTTGAGCCAGAGTTTTTGTATTTAACATATTGCACTATTAGCTGATCAGATGATAATTTGCTTTCAGATTTTTTTGATTTGAATTTTTCAAAAACAACTAAAATTTAAAACTTAGTTAATATCAAGTTCTATTTTAAATAAGTTCTTGCAACGAAAAAAATTCAATGGAAACCGATTTTAATTTTTTTCTCGGAATGAAACAAACCTTCTTGTCTGAATTCAAAATTAAGTTTTATGCACTACACCTGTATAAAAACTACTAACGTAAGAACATTTTGAGACCTTGCTACTTAAGAATGCAGTAAAATGATAAGTGACGTGACATTATGGGTAAGACAATATATTTTTTGCTGGAAATTTTGAACACTGAAGTGAAAATTTGTGTTTGAAAGTTTTAAATGGGTTATAAAAATGTCTTTACCTTATACATGTTTTTTCTTTTTCAGACAACTGACTGCGATGAGTGTTACATGCATATCAGCTGTTCATTTTCTAGATTTTCATACTTTTTTGTTAAAAACAGTTTTTTTTGCCAGAAAATTGAGGTTTGGTTTCTTGGAGAGTTCAAATACTCAGTCGAACACTCAGAGTTCAAACACTCAGAGTTCAAGCAATATCAATGACTGTATTGCAGAAGTAGAAAATTCGTTTTCAGGTATAAAATGCGGTGATTTTTACCTTGAATTTATAGATCCGAATTTCGAAAAAAGTGGGAGTATAACTCTTTCGGTTGTTTTTTATACAGACCATTTTCTGTAAAAATAAGTTCAGAGTGGTAATCAAACATAGAATCTACATGTTTCCTGCCTGTTGCGCTACTCACTATCCTACATGCGCTTCACTCTCGCGGTTCGTAGCTTGAGGAAATTAGCTATGATGCTGAAAGCCTAACACGAATTTTTATCCCATTCAAAAAACTGCTCAATTTTAAACACTTAATATTTGACATTGATAGTCTGAAAATTAGAGTCCCTCAAAATTTTTTCTCTTATAATGTTTTTAGACCAAGTAAATGGCCGTCAGAACCTTGACGGGTCTTTTTCCTTTATAGATGCACTTCAAGGTAACATAGGGTAACTGTTGACCATTCCTATTTTTTTTACTGTTGACAAGTTAATTTTTTGCTCACCTTAGAATTTCTTTTCGGTACTTTTTTTGTTTCATAACTTTTTTTTTGCTTTTTTTGTCATGCTAGACTTTGAACCTGTGAAGAATAGATGTATCTAACGCTAGATGAACCAAAAATGTAGACATTAACTGTTTTGTTAATTCGTTCTGATAATCTGTGATCTGTAAATGTCAATTAGTCAAAAACTTAACTGCAGGCATTTTTCAGTGATTGCTTACTTTAAACTGAAACTTCTTACAGCCACAAGAACTAAAAACAACGACGTTAAAAAGGCGCAATTTTTGTCGACTTTTTGTTGGTATAACTTTTGAGCTAATTAGTATAGTGATTAAAGCTTCATTTCAACTTCATTTGAATTTTAAAAAAAAGTTTGCCAATTTTAATTGGGCTGTGTGATAAGCAAAACGTGAATCAAATATAGAAAGTAGAATTACCCTTTGGCGCCCATAAATATTTAAAAACTGGTGAAATGGAGCGCAATTAAAATTTAATTGCTTCAAATGGTTCGGTAATTTTGCAATTTTCTTCATTTTTTTTTCGATAATTAATCATTGAGCAATTGTTAAAGACAAAGACTGAAATCCATCTTCAACCAGTAGTTATATTTCAAACGGTTTAAATTGAGTCTGAGGTTTAACCCAACCTTTTATGACCAAACTTAATGATCAGAAGACCATTGCTTTAAAAATTTTAACGAGATTGTTGAAACAAAAAGAGCCATTCAGCTCGATTTCAAAACAACAACAAAAACCATCATCTATTTTGGAGTGCAAAAACAATATCTTCCAAAACCTCTTTTGTGTATTTTTGTTTTAATGAATATATCGTTTTCTCCTTTCAAGTGATCTTGTTTGTTTAAAAACGTTAATGATATATATTTGTAAATTGTGTATCAATCATAACTATACGCCAGGTGAAAAATAAGGACCGGGAAGCGATTAAAATGTTTTCATTTATGCCCTTAGCCAATAGAGAACAATTTTGCTAGCACCCCCAGCAAATGGAATGTAAGACTGCCGATGGCTTATCCAATCAGAATTGAGCAGGCGCTATTTGCGATAAATGGGAAGTGCTAAGGAAAAGATAATAATTATAAGCCACATAGTTGCAAGCAACATAGTGAAGCGACCCAAATTTTGATTTAAAAGTTTTAGACTTGAAAATTATTTTTCGGATTGAAAATTCTCAGTTTTGGAGAGTCAAACTTCCCAGTCAAACTTCAATTTACTTTCACAAAAGTTGTAATAGAAAACTCTGCTGTCAACGCCAATTCAAATTTCTTAAATTTTTCAAAATTGTTGAAGTCAATTTAGTATTTCAGCTTTTCTTGCGAAGAGAAACTCTACGTCTATCTGAGGACACATTTCAAAATGGTGAGTTTGGATGATGTTACTATTTGACTTCGTGTTTTTTTTTTGAAAAAAAAATGTTCGATCAAAGCTTTCAAAATACTCTCTAATTTTACTCGCAATCAAAAATGAGCAGCTAAAAAGGGGCTGATTTTTTGCCGAATGTTTGTAATTATTCCGAAAGCAAAACAGGTTCAGTTCTTTTTTTTTCAATCTTAACTGAAAAATAAAAAATATAATTTTTTTTACTTCAACTGAGATTTCGAACATCATCTTTGATTTAAACTGACCGCTGATTATGTTAGGTCATCGTTTTAGTTTACAAACTTGAAACTAAAACGACAATTCTCAACCATTTTTCAACTTGATGGTTTTAAACTCTCTTTCAGATCACTTTTCACAGTAAGTCGCTTAGCGAGTTATGATTCTCATGATATTACATGTTGGCAAATAATTATTAAATCCGCAAATTAAAACGTCAATCTAAACCAGATTCTGTTTTTACTGTTGAAAAATCGTTTACATCTAATACCTTGTTGTTAGCGCTGTAAAATGAATTTTGTTGTTCACATTTGTGTAAAAATGTTTGAATGGTAGAAACGACTTTTGTTATTTGTCATTTTGTCTCTTTTTGACAACTTTTTCTCGCGGGTGGTGTTCGAGTACAAAAAGTATGACAAAATTGCAACAAAAAGTGCAATTCAAATTTCATTTTGCTGATTCCAAATGAGCTTCAAGGGTACAATAATCTAGAAGACTCTTTTGGTGGTGAAGGTCTTGACCAATTCTCCAAAATTTTTACTTTTCAATTGAGATTCTCAAGTTGTTTGCGCTGCTGTGTTAGTAAACATTTTTAGCGACTAGCAATTTTCAACAACTACATTCATTATAATCGAGTATCTCTTACAGTTGAAGAGAAAAGTTTGGTAAACTGTGCAGTCTTCATTAATGATAAACGTTCATTACTTGAGTTTTTTTGTCACAATTGATTAATTACAGCTTCTGAACAACACATTTGATTAAAAAGGCTCTTTTACAGCTTGTAGTACAACATACCGTGAAACTGTGAACATCGAACGTAAATAAGTCACAAATGTGTTTATTTAGTACGAAAATCTGTTCATGACACCTGCTCTTCAAAACCCCACTTCAATCCATCCGCCCAACTTGGGTACACCGACGTGTCCCATCTCGGGGTTGAATTTATCCAACGGATCCCCTTCCCTCAACGAACTGGCTTCAAACCCGATGTTTCCGGGTTTTGTTCATGCCTCGCGACTTGGAGCCTCAAACATTCCGATACCACCTCTCGAGTCGCCCCTACCCCCATGTTTCGTCCCGAGTTCAATGTCGCCTCCAGTTACAAATGGTACAAATCCGGGGAACCTGGGTTCGAGGCCCGCTCAGAGCACTTGTCACGGATGTATGGCGCCGATTGTTGACAATGTTTACTTATCAGTTGCAGATTTCACCACTTGGCACGTACCTTGTTTGAGATGCAGTGATTGCAATGTCGGACTTGACTCCGAGAAAAGTTGCTTCATCAAAATAGGAAAATACCTCTGCAAGAAATGCTACCAAAGGCTAGTTGATTAAGAACATTTAGTCATTTTTTTTAGCTAAGTTGATCAATTTTTAGCTAAGTTGATCTAACTCCACCATCAAAACTAGTTTTTTTCTATTGAAACTATTCGGTTTTGACCTGAATCGGCTTGTGTTAGGAACCTATTTGCTAATGAAATTTAAGTTTTGAGAAACTTTTTTTAGTACTTGGAATTTTCGGATGAAATTATTGTTTTCTCAGAGTCGGCGCAAAAGTTGAAAGAAAATTTAAGTCCGAGTTTGTTTATTCGACGAGTCGTCTCTTATCGCATTAATCCGAGATTATCTCACAGCACAATAAAAGAATATTTCGTCACTTCGACACTTCGAACATGTGTGCCAATATATATTTCAAATCATCCATAGTCGGTCATTCTGAACAAAAAAAAATTATTTTATTCCAAAAAAAAAAACCTTAAAATGGGTCAGGTGATTTTGTTTTTTCATTTTGGAGTTAATTGCTATGAAATCCTTTTACTTATCAACTCAAGCATTATTTAGACAGAAATTAATAAAAGTTACATTTTGTGTAAAATTTCTCTCGCAAAAACTAATTTATCTTGAAGATATAGGTTTTCAGGAAAGGTTGTTTTACACACAATGCATTCGCACTCTTTTTAATATCAAAAATAGCGGTCAGTTGGATTGGGAATATTTTTGTAGATGGATATTTGAATATTTCAAGATGTCCCTCAATAGCAATAATGCGATATCTACCCCAAACCAATTCAACGTCGCTTAGATCAGTTCTCGACTGGGCAATTAATTTTAAAAATGGATCAAAATATGGGTTGGAAAGGAGTTAATTGGATGCAAAATACAGGTCACTTTAGAGAACATCCGGGAAAGAAATTCACACAAGGAGCCTCTTTTGTAGTAAAAAGTCAAATCACGACATACTACTGGACACACAAGAAGTCTTAAGGATGAAAGAGAGCTTTGCCCTCCGATCGGTTGCACGGATATATTCCATAGCTGATACCGTCTAAGAAAAGAATGTGGGCGGCACATTTTTCTTCAATGTCAAAATTTAATTTTTAATGCAAAAATCAAAACTTTACGGCCAAAATGATTAATTTCATTTGCTTTTCTTTTCATTCCAGATTTTTTGCCCTTCTTTAATTATAGAATAGCAGCGCCTCAAAGAGATGGAAAAAAAACAGATCTGAAAGAAAAATTGACAAAACAAATTTTTCTTGAAAGTGAAAAAGTCGACACTCAAAAACGAAGCAGATTCTCCGCTCCTGTTCATATATTGCACGTAACATAAAAATATATATATATATATAGCTTCAACACAAAAACGGTACAAAAAACATGAAACAAAATAATGAAAAATGATGTTTTTATTTGTTTCTTTTGTATCTGGAGTCGATTTGTGAATCGGACGTGACCAAAGAAGAGGACGGATGTTTGGATGGATTTGATAGGCTAGTTCTGAACTGATACTCTCTAATTAGCACTCGATACTCGGAAGTGACAGTCTCAAAACTCCACCTAATTAGAACCAGACCTCAGAAGGATAGGAAGCGGAGCGGATTGAATAAATCACACAGTCATTCATGACCCAAACCCTCACTTGCACTAAACCATTACTAACTACCCGTAGCTTAAATCACATTTTGCGGTCGACAATTAATTAAAGAAGGAAAATATGAAAACTTGCTTAGAAAAAATCTTTCAATTTAATGAGGCTTTGCGATTTTTCTATGAAGCCTAAATCATGAAGAAAACCTTGGAAATAGCACGCAGAAACCAACGAAATTTATAGATTATGGATAACTTCGTTTCAACGAGTTCAAATTTGAGCATGTTTTAGGAGATTCAAGTCGCCCTCTACCCCTTCGCCGGCTGTGTGTGCGCGATGCAACAACAAAATTCACGCCAAAGAAATGGTGATGCACGCGAAGGAATTCGTATATCATGTTTCATGCTTTAATTGCACGCATTGCAGTCGGATTTTGACCACCGGTGATCACTTCGGCATGAAAGACTCGTTAATATTCTGCCGACAACACTTCGAAATGTTGTCGTCGCCGCCTCTGAATTTACCCGGAGGCGGGTCGCATATTTCGCATTCAACCGGGAACAACCCCCTCCACTCGGGACTGCAGCCCCCTCTTCCTCAGGATTTCAATCACCTCCCCCCTACAAGTGGAAATCCACTTAGTGCAATACAATCAGGGTTCAATAACCAGCCCCCTTGCTCACCATTCAATCAAGGTCACCTGTCTCAACTTCCGCTGGGGTTCCCGGGACCCGACGGAATGCCCCCAAACGGATACCCACTCCCCCAAGGAGACCCAAACGCAATGATGAATCATCCAAACCCTCCTCCTCCGAAGTCACAAAAAGGAAGACCGAAAAAGAAAAAACAGCCGCAGGAAGACGCATTCCAGAATCTATACGCAAATGGTAAGATACGATGACTTAATGTAGAAACTTTCTTTGCTATCTCCGTTTTCTAGAGATTTTTTAAAAGTTTTTTTACAGTTAGTTTTTTTTTCAAGAAAAAACTTTTTGTTATAAATTTTTGAATAATTTCCTTAAGTAAAAATGGAATATATTTCTGGAAAAAAATAGAAGATTTCAATACCGGAACTTGAACTCTAGTCTGCCAAAAAAAGTTTTAACTAATCAAATCTTCAACAATGGGGTTTATAGATTTCAACTCTGGGATGCACGGAGCACCACACGACGCCGTTCTAGGCTTGTACATGGCAGCCAATAATCCAAACGGGACTTCCCTGGAACAGCAGAACAGGACTAAAAGAGTGCGCACTAGTTTCAAGAACCATCAGCTGCGAGTGCTGAAACAGTACTTCCAGTTGAATCATAACCCAGATGCAAAAGAGCTAAAACAACTGTCGCAGAAAACTGGGCTGAGCAAACGGGTTCTACAGGTAAATTAATTGTTTATTTTGCAAACGATCACAGCAGTTTTTTGTTCAATGATTCGTCAGCCGTGACCATCGCGACCTAAAGTCAATAAGCTGCAACTGTCGCGATCCAAAAAAGACAAATTGCGACTTCGCACGACCCAAAAATCTCGGCACGATTTTGCTCGATCTAAAAGAACTAAGTCGCGACATTGCAAGATAGAAAACAGTACTTTATATGCCAATAAATTCAACTGCTGATAAGGTTTCTTTTCTATCAAAATTATGGCAATCTAATATCATCTAACTGTTTGGATATCAATTACTTCATGTTTTTGTTTGTTTTCCAGGTGTGGTTTCAAAATGCGCGCGCCAAATATCGAAGACTGATGATGAAAAACCAGCAAAACGGAACCAACACAAAATTCAGTCTGGATGACGAAATGCCAGAAGACCAGAACATGAAAATCAGCGAATCCGACGAAGAGTTAGATGACCACGAATCGAATAAAGAATCAAACACGAACAACCCGAATTCGCCCTCGGCCGAATCCATGTCGGATTTCGGCGAAATGCTTTCGCCCGACTTATCACCCGAGGCGAACCCCAGCCCGACAGGCAGTTTCGGAATGAGTCATCCCGATAAATCGTTGATAGACGAATCTCTAAGCGGCAATTCTAATTTTTCCCTCCAAGACGCAGTTTTAAATAATTCGAAATCGGAGCCAATGGCTGCTTTTTGAACAATTTTTTTTTGTATTGGAATGAATTTATAAAGCTCAGAATTTGTCTTCAAAGCTATCAATGTCATTATTTCCTTTTACTATGATAATATTGTAAATTAATGTAGATAAATATTTTGAAAAGTTTTCATTATTTAGTTTTATGAGACAAAAGCAGCCCAAACTTTTTAGCATAGCATTAGAAAGTTGGCTGAGAGTTTTTAAAAATGAAAATTTTGCCTAAAAAATTGAAAGTATTGTAAGAAAAAATTCAAATTGCGAACTCCAGCAAACAAAAAAAAACAAGCAGAGACGGCCTTTGTTAATCGGCCTCTCGTTACGCAAAATGCCCCTCTGCTCTTTTTTTTGGTAATTAGCTTTTTAATTAAGAACTTTCAGCCTTCTCTTCTCCTTTTCTCTCGTTTTCCATTTTCAGTGTAGTTTTAGATACTGTACAAGCTAAATGCGCATTTTTTAGTATAAGTTAAGAAGAACAAACGTAGTTTTGCTTAGTCACCATGCTAAGGTTCATTACATTATGACAACAATAATTGAGATTTTTCATGTTAAAATCCAAATGAGGGGAGAAGAGTGGTCAGAGAAAAATTGTCCAGTGACGCGACATCGTTCTCATAATTTCGAATTCAATTAGAAAATTCTAACTAGGATACTAAGAGGAAATCTCAGCTTGGGTGACTTTAGAATGTTCATCTAATTTTTGAAAATCTACTTTCCAGGGTTGACAAAAACCACTAATTATAAATTTCCATAAATGAATAACTTCTTGGCAAAAATTCTATATAAGAATAAAATACAGGAAATTAGATTAAATTTCTATGATAAATCTTTTCCCATTCATGAAAATTGTATGAGTAGCACTTTTCCAAAAAAAATTCCAAACATCAATTCAGCTTATCTCTATTTTTTTTGAGTTTTTTCAAAATCCCAAAAAACCTTGCTTTGCTCAAATAAGAATTATTTTAGTGGGTTCCAATAATCTCCCGAAGAAACTGCCTTAAAAGATTTGCCATTCAAGTTATTGTTGAAATTTCATTCAACATTATTTTTTTTGTGTATTTAACCTCAATGGTTTGTTTGTATATGGCTCTTATTATTTCACTCAAAAAAACTTATCGAATCAAAATTGTGGCCTGTTTTCAGGCCTTAATTTCTGGACTACAACTCCAGAGTATAGACTAGCAAGACTACTCGTTTCAGAGCAAAGCCCTCATTGTTCCGACTGCTCTTTTATTGCTCTCGAATAGTTTTTGATAAAATAAATATTGGCAAAACGATGAAATTTAGGCCCAAGTGTTGCAATATGACCCGTGTGTGGAAATATTGAAACCAATTAGCTGCCTCAATTCAATTAAGAATAGTTTTTTAGTGCGGGATTATAAAGCAAGCAGTTTCGGCATATTTATGGAAGGGTACTATGGTGGTGTTCACGCTTGAATGGTCGCATGTAGATCAAGAGATCGATCCGGGACTGTGTTTTGTAAAAGTGGTTTGAATAAGAAAAAATCATATATTCCTTATTTTCTTCAGAAGTCAGAACAAAAAGCGCACAAAACGTTTTTATAAGCATAGAACTGAGTTTTGCGATAAGGGGAAATTGAACGATAAACAATTTTCTATACACTTATTGTATGGAATTGTGTGACGAGCAGTTTTTTGGTTGGAATTGTAAAACACGTATTGACCGTCTATTGCGGTTAACCCGGGTTGCTTGTCAGAACTCTTACATCTGTTACTTGCTACTTTTATAGTACAGCAGAGTTCACAACCAGAATGCCAAAATACAGGCGAGATGTATGCCAGGAGTAAATTAGGGCTACGCTGACCAAAACTTTTAATCCCATAAATCCTTAAAAGAAAAATTGTTGTCATACAACTCAAAAAAAAATTTCATATTGTCATACAATACATTTTTTTCATACCTATAGAAAAAATGAATAAACTTTTTAAATTACAAGAAGTTTTTATGCTAGTCGTTTTTTCATTACAAGTATTTTGAGAATTGCAAACGGATTCCGCAACAATGTTCTTTTCTTTTCTTTGTTCTTTTCTTGTTCATATGAATTTTGATAACAAATTATTTTTTTTTGTAAACTGGTAGACTATTCCCACTGTAAAAAAAATAAATGATGAAATGTGTGGCCTGTTTTGTGACAGAAAAATGTATATTTTACCATTTACTTACAACAAGCGGTTTAATTTACAAAAAAAAACGGAGCATTCGCTATAAATTCACGGCATAACTTTTTATCATGGCTGATCGAATTCTAATTTTTTGCACAAAGTAGGTAAAGTTGATAAAAGCCTAATATTGAATAGTGCAGTTGATCACTAAGTGTTGAAAATGACTGTTTGAGGTTTCAAAAATCTAATTTGTGGCCATTTGAGGCCGTGTTCTTTCAAGTATGGACTGAAGTTTCTTAACTTTTTTCATCTTGTTGTTCTTCTCAAATTGCTGGACTTAGAATCCTCTCTGATTTTTTGTTTTATGATCGATTTAAACTTTTTGTCTATTTGGAGAAAAACAAGTTATTTTTGAATTTTTTTCCGATGAAGTTTTGGCTTCCGCGTTTTTCAAGGAAGGCAAAGTTCTAGAATTTTAAAAACGAATTCCGAGTTGTGCGACAAGTTTTTAACCGCTCTGTGAATTATACAAATGACATACAGGGCAGAAAAAACCATTCGATTGCTGCAGTAGGGAAGCAGATCGTGCTGAGCTTTAACCAAAATACTTGAATCTATGGAAGAGCAAAGATAAACGAGGTTTGATCAAATTATTTGATTTTCGTCACGTTGCCCATTAGTCTTATAATGTATAAACCTTAGAACCCTTGAAAAATTGTTGTTTTGACGCTCAATGACCCTTTTTGAAAACAAACTCAGAAAGCTGAAAGCTAGCGATTGTTTTAATTAAAAGAAACAAAGAGCGTATGACTGCCCAGGTCGAAATTCCCCTCAAAACCCGCTCAAGATTTGTACGGTGTGAACAGTTTTCCAGCAAGATTTGGAGGGTTTGAGCGGTTTCAGCGTATTTTTTGAAAACCTCTCAAACCGCTCAAATTTTGCTTTTAAAAACAGTTAATTTTTGTCAATGGCCGAGTGAGTGTCGAAGTGATACCTCAATCAACGCTGTTAGTCATTGAGATTTTTTTCAAATACTTTTTCCCCATTCTAGCTATTCATACTAGTTATACTAGTTATTCAAAGTATCCGGCTCATTTTTTTGTACAACGAGTCCATTTGAAGCCATCATCAGCATCAGGATCAAAGGTCGTGTATGAGATGGCCAAGTTCCTCCAGTGACTTCATCAAATACCAATCATTGTAACTTTTTGCATTGTCAAAAGAAAATCTCGTAGTTTTAAAAATTGGATTGATCTTAGTTAACTTTCCTAAATGGATCACCATTGGGTGCTCAATAATAAAAAGTTACGAATAAATTTTTCCATTAGTCATAATATACTCGAAAGCAGAAAAATAAAATGGTTAATGGTTGGAAGTCGTAGTTTAGGCACCTCTATAGCTCGGGGGGGGGGGGTTAATTGAGGCGTGAGCAGTGAGCTGGAGCAAAATCAAGAAATTTTTTTAATTGGGTTAAAAAAATTGTGTATCTATGTGCCATTCTACCGAAAGGACATTCTAACCCTCCGAACAAAAGAGAAAAAATGAGAAAGGCTTTAGTTTCGAAAAAACTAATAAACAGGGGTAGAAACTTGACCACCTAATGTTTCTGAGAAATGATAGAAACTGCCATATTTGGACAATAGTGGTAGAAAAAGACACAACAGCCAAACTAACGACAGAGAATGGTCGTACGGAGTTTAAAAAAGTGAACAAAATCCGACACTTGGTACGAAACGAGCGTTGGCTTCCTGATCAAGTAGAAAGATAAAGTCCTACGGCAGGTTCGGTACCGATCCGAACTCTCCTGACCCGACAATACAAGTGGGGCAGATAACGACCTTATCTTCCAGGAACTGTTGGAGTGGAGGCCCAAAGACTTTGAACTAATTTATGATGTATACAGCCCTTTTTATCTAATTGAAAGTCCTGAAAGTATATGTTTGAGTCAATCTTAAGAGGTTGTTTTTCAGAATATCAGTAGTTGAGGGCAAAGAAAGGGACAAGCTAATAACTCTAAAAATAAATGTAGAAATGGTTTTTAGCCCATTTTCTAATCATAACCACGTTGTCTGGGAATAAAAAGACCCAACTAATTGGTTTTAGATAAAGCAAATGAAAGCTAAATAGGTTCCGTTCGGCTGGTCGCCTAAGAATTGTAACGCGTTCGCAAGCCCTTGAATAGACCAAATTTTACTGGTTACGTCGAGACGGTGAAAAAAAATGAAATTAAGGTATATGACATTAGCTAAACGTCAAGAGGGACTTTTTCTACTTTCCGTTCTTATGCAATCTTTGGGCGATTGTGAAAAATACATAGCTCCATTTTCCAAAAAAAACAAAAGATAAAAGTAAAATTTAATTGTTTTTGAAGCTCTAAGAATGTTGGAAAGAGGACACGTTATTCTTTGTAAGTTTATTTTTGCATAGTTTGGATGTCCCGTTAATATAAACTTATTTTCCGCTCTTTTAATATTCAAACAGAAATCATGCCAAAAATTGGACTATATTCAAAGTCAGAGCACCAGTTACAGCGTGATTAAAAAACTTCTGGCGCAGAAAAGTACCGCGCTTCAAATCATTCCAAGATTAAATTGTACCGATCAAAAATTTTTATCTAAAATTTTTAAATATTGTTCCGGGTATAATGAACACAAAACCTATCTGAAAATGGGAGAAACTTGGTATTCGGGTGGGTTTTAGTTTTTTTTCTTTTTGTTTCCGGCGCAGAATCAGGAATCACAAAAAACCATCGGACTATGCTGAGTGATTTATCATAATAAAGCCCTTTCAGTCGTGATTGGAATCATGTACAAAAAAATAACAAAATGTCGAGAAAAACTAGTTTGAAATTTTTGATTTTTCGTCTTGATTCGAACAAATAAAGCAAGAAAGCATGCTTACAAGAGCTGAATTCTGACTGATTTAAGAAATTTAAGCAAAAAAAACTAGTGTCTGGAGTTTTTTAGCTCATTTTTGGAAC